GTTGTTGATCATAAATACACTTATACATGGACTCTAAAATGTTAACATCCTACAAGCTCCAATTGAACAAGTTTACACATCAGAATTTTATCAATGCATGAAAACTTCTAAAGAAATTTTTAAGTTAATTTTTACTATATCATTCTAACAATATATATTGTAACCATATATTTTGAATTATTTATTATCATCATCTATTGACAACAATTGTAGCAATTGTCATTGACAAACTCTCAAAATAATTTGTCTCAACAAGGAATGAAATTTTTTTTTAAAAAAAAATCATTAATTTCATTATTGTTGATGAAAAGTATGTACGATACTTTATTACTCTTATTAAATTAAAGAAATTAGTAGCTACAACAAAAAATAATACATATGCACATTTAATTAATTTAGAATTAGATGTCTATAATGCTTTATTTAAAAAAAAATTATTCATTATAAAAAAATTTAAAAGAAATATAATTTCACTAGTTATATTATCTCTATTTTCTACAATTCAAAGATTTCTTACCTTCAAATTTATTAATTTATTATATTCACTACATTGTCAATTGTCTTCTTTTTACATTATATTGTAATTAAATATCAAAGTTATAATACAAAACATATTTTATATATATATATATATATATATATATATATATTTACCAAGTATTTTATACAAATATAATAAATATTAATATTTTGTTCAATACTTTCGCATGATAACCTACGACACACATCTCACAACACATGACATGTTAGGGAAAAACTACCACTACTAAATATCAATAGGTGTTTGTAAGATAAAAGTTCATATTACAACTAAAATCTCAGTCATATACACAGTAAGGCAAATCTAAAGCTTCCTACACCATAATCTCATTGCATAATGAATCCCCTATACTTTGAAATACTTATTTAAAAATAATCATTGGACATTATAAAGAATTTCAACGATTTTGTTGATGCAAGACAAAAAATGATCATGCTATAATAATACTAAGATCTAATGGAATGTTCTAGAAAAAAAAAGGACTAAAAATGAATTACCAATTATAAATCTGAGACAAAAAATGGAATTAACTCATTTAAGAACTGAATGGTATCCGGGGTGGACTTCCAAGTGGAATGTTGTGATTTCGAGCCTCAGTGGAGGCGTTATTGGCTCTTTGTGTTTCAGTAGGTTGAGAAAGTATATGAACAGATACTACAATGTAATAGAGCTAGTAGCATCCAAAAAACTCATTTAAGAACTGAATTAACTATTATAAAAAAAAATAAGTTATTTTATCAGAAAAAGTTAATTCCCAAAATGGTCCTCCGATTATGGCCTTTTTTTGAAATTGGTTCATTAACTTTTAATTGCACCTAAAGTGGTCCTTCGACTATTGAATTTTAAGCCAAAACGGTCCTCTGTTAGTTTTGGTGTTAAGTGAGTGTTAAAATGAGGGGTAAAACTGGTAATTCATGATTTTCACTATAGTTAGAGGACTACTTTGGGTGCAATTAAAAGTCAAAGGACCAGTTTTAGAAAAGACCATAGTCGGGTGACCATTTTGAGAATTTTCTCTTTATAGTTAAAACATGATTTTGTTCTCATTTTGATTAAAAGGGGTTGATCTTGTACTTATTTTCATTTTCTAAATAAACAATATTTTTACTTTAATTGTTACCTAGAAAATTATTTTTTGGAATAAGGGTCAAATAGGTCACTCAATTGCACACCAACATGTAATTAGGCCATCCAACTCAAAAAGAATGCAATTGGGTCTCTGAACAACACAAACTTATGCAATTTGACCCAAAATTACTTGTTTATTTCAGGAGGTTACTAAATTTAAAAATATTTTTTTACAATAATTTTAATTAAAATAAATATTATAAAAAAAAAAAAAAAAAAACCACCGGAGACGAAGTCTTCGTCTCCGCGGGTCCCTTCGTCTCTTGGCTGGAGATGAAGTTACCTTCGTCGTCTTTGGCCATGGAGACGAAGGGACCTTCGTCCCCTGACCATGGAGGCGAAGGTCTCTTTGTCTTCGGCCATGGAGACGAAGACTTCTTCGTCTCCGACGGTTTTTTTTTAATATTTATTTTAATTATAATTATTGTAATTTTTTTTTAAAAAAAAAAATTAGTAACCTCCTATTCAGATAAACAAGTAATTTTGGGTCAAATTGTATAAGTTTGTGTTGTTTAGGGACCCAATTGCATTTTTTTGAGTTGGATGATCTAATTGCATGTTGGTGTGCAGTTGAGTGGCCTATTTGACTCTTATTCCTTTTTTTTTTTTTTTTAACAAATAACTTATAATAATAATTTTGATTATTAGCCAAGTTCTTATATATAGTTTTACAAACTAACATTTACTTTCGATTAACACATTTGTAACTTTTTATATTGATTTTATCTTTCCCTAATGCACTTTAATTTAATATGTTACATGTGGTGAAAATTATTCAAATAGATTAATTAATTGATATAAACTATATTCTGTAATTCAATTATGAAAAATCTTTTAAAAGAAAATTTCATTTTTATGAACTATCTAGTTAATATAATCTAGAAGTTTAAATTGTGTATTATCGTATTTAAATTAATATAAAATACTTATAGTTTATCTAATTAAATTAAAAAGTATTTATGAATATAATATTAATTAATAGCGATGATATACAATTTATTCCTAACCACTTCATATTTTATTATAAATATTTTTGTATTATTGAAGTTTTTTTAAAAAAAAAAAAAAATTCGCCTCCAGATCGACATTTTTGGTTTTGCCCCTATAAACCAATTATATTATCTTTTTGTAATAGACAATGATTTTTTATCTTTCTTATCCGTTTGTATTTAACTGTTGTCTTTTTTTTTTTTTTTTTTTTTAATAAGCAATGGTTTATGTCTGTTGTCCATTTGGTTGTAATTTTTCACAATAGTTTTGTCATTATATGTATGCTTATTTATGATCATAGAAAATCAAAATCCAATTACATAAATAACGCGAAGGTCACAGGTTCAAGACCTGTATAAAAAATCAAGTCAAGATGGCCGAGTTGGTTTAAGGCGCCAGTTTCAGGTACTGGTTTGAAAGGGCATGAGTTCAAATTCCATTCTTGACAATTATCTTTTTACCTACTTGGGGTGTCCAATATACCAAGGTAGGAAGAAGGTGAGTCTCTTTACTGGCTTGGTGGATAGGGGTAGCTGCTAAGTGTAGAGGTTGTCACAAGGGGGAAAGGCTGTGTTGGTCAAAACAGTACTTCAGGCCATGCAATCCACCAACCTAAGGCTGTGATAAAACAGTTGGAGAAATTGTTTGCTGACATCATTGGAGCTCATGGGGGACTCTGGCAAGACCAATCAAGGAAGGAGGGGTAGGGTTTGTGGGGCTGCAAGAAATGGTTGATGCAGCAGCTGCTAAACTCTGGTGGAACTTTAGACAGGGTGAATCAGTGTGGAGTAAATCCTTAAAGGCTAAATATTGTAATAATGTAGACAGGGTGGGGCATGGCTTGCATGAGTATTTTGATGCTTCTTGTGTGCTTGGTGATGACTGATGAGCTTGAGTGTGAGTGCTTGAGAGATCCAGGTTTGGACCGTGATGAAGAGGCCTTTGGTTAAGGGCAATATTAGTTTGGTTGCTTAGTGCACGGCTGAGTTGCACTCAGTTTTTACATAAGGCATTCTTGCCATTTTGTACATAGCGTAGCATTGTTGATGAGCATGGACTCCAAATTATGCTGTGGAAACCTGTTCACCATTTCACCATGTGCATGGTGAACATATGGGTAGATCAATAATTCTATGTTGTAGATTCGTAATTTTGTTTTTCATTTGTTGTTAACGACGTTTCTCTACTTCTTCGCAATTGCATTATTTCATCTTCGCAGTACAGATATTATGAATCTACAGTACAGAAATTATGAGTCTACGTTATAGAAATTATGAATCTACAGGATAGATGTTATGAATCTACAATATAGAAATTATGAATCTATCTCGTGTTCACCACGCGCACGGTGAACATAGTTCTACAACATAACTATTGTTGTTGATAAGCATGGACTTATTGATTTGAGTGGTCACTTTTGGGCCACTCATGTATGGAATTATTTTATTTTGATTGCCTAAAGTATCCCTACAGTCGAAAGCCAGAAGACTAATCCCCCGTCCCTACTGTCAGCATACTAAGTGGTAGGGGACTGGCCAAATGGTTTGCTTCATTCACATGGGTGGGATCGAACCCCCAACCTCATGTATGGAATTATGCGAGTTTTACTTAATAAATGCACAATTTTTTTGAAAAAAGAAAAACATAATGTCAAAGTATTCATGAATAATAAAGAGTTAATCCAAAGTTAATGTTAGTTTGTACAACTATATATAAGTACTAGGCTAATAATCAAAATTATTATTCTAAGTTATTTTTTTACAAAATAATTTTTTAGCTAATAATTAAAATAAAAAGATTTTTTATTTAGAAAATAAAAATAAGTACAAGATCAACTCATTTTAATCAAAATGAGTGCAAAATCAGGTTTGAACTATAAAGAGAAAATTCGCAAAATGATCCTCCGACTATGGTCTTTTTCAAATGAGTCCTTTGACTTTTAATTGCACTCAAATTAGTCTTCTGACAATAGTGAAAATCCTGAATTATCAGTTTTATTCCTCATTTTAACACTGGCTTAACACCAAAATTAACAGAGGACTATTTTGACTTAAAGTTCAATAATCGTAAGATCACTTTGTCTGCAATTAAAAGTCAAGAAATTAATTTGAGAAAAGATCATAGACAACCATTTTAGGAATTAACTCTACCAAAAATTACTCTTAAAACTTAAAAGTAACCATGAATTCAACCGTTAATGCATTGCAAAATAAATATTAAATATAGGCCATTCAATAGTTGCCACCCCAGTGGGAAATTTGCCGCCTGGGGACAAGGGTAGTGTTTTCCTTGTAAACTGTAAAGTCTCTCAGCCATGGCTTTGGCACATGAAAGTTTGTGCCAGCTACCTCAAAAGACTTGTCTTTTACTCTTTTCATTCATTTCCTATTCTCTTTCCTTCCATAGCACACCACCTCAAAAGGAATGTTTAACAATGTTTTGACTCTAAATGCTGTAAATTTTGTTCTTATTTCTTCTTTTGTGTGTATAATAATAAGTTCCTTTTTGCTAGCCCCAATGATTGGATCAATTTCTCTCGATTCTTGCCGACATTGTGAAACCCAGTGAACTCTTGAAGACTGAACAACTGAAGAGTCCTCCCTCGGCTTCCTCCTTACGCAATAGCCGCGGAGAAATCTAGGGGCCGCAAAGAATGTTGCTGATTTTATATATCCGGAGTGTATTATAACAATCTTCGATTTAGCGGGAATCGATCGGGGGTTTTTCATGAAAGGCGCGTTAATGGAGTTGGATCAGTGATGGGCTGCGCGGCCTCGAAGAAGGCGGTGTCCGTGACGCCGGCTTTTGATCACTCCGGCTTGCTCCGGAAAGACGACGGCGGCGATGCCGGGCCTCGAGTTCGGAGCGGTTCGAAGGGAATGCAAGTCGATGCGAAGAGAATGAAGAGGAGGTCTAGGGTTGGGATGAGCGAGACACCGAGCCTTAGGCTTGGGAATATACAGAATTATGCCGAAGCGGAGCAAGTGGCGGCTGGGTGGCCGGCTTGGCTCAGTGCGGTTGCCGGGGAAGCTATTCACGGTTTGGTGCCGCTCAGAGCTGACTCTTTTCAGACACTGGAAAAGGTGCGAATTTGATCACAAATTGACAATTATTCATTAAGTTTATTGGAAAATATAAATGAACAGTAAGTCTGTTTTTATATGATTAGTTCTTCTCTATGTGTGGCTTAGAGTATTCAATTTATGGTTCTTTCCCTTTTAGTATTGGTTACTAAGTTTACCAAAAATTTGATAATTCTGCTAATTAATGCAGTTACATTGCTATCATCATTGGAATCATCAATGCTATGGCCTATAGGGATATCCATATATGCTTCTCTTTTAATATTAGATTCTTGATTATAGTAAATTACTCACATTTTCATTGAAAAACAGTAACTTTATTGAGAGTATTTTCTTGCCTCAAAAGGTTGAATACCCAACCCCAAATCCCCACACCCCGGCCCGACAAATGTAAATCATGGTAACTCAGTGGCTCAGTAGACAAAGGTTTTTTTTTTTTTTGGTAAATGGCTGTTAGCTGATTGGGTTAGTGAGTTTGACTAGTTGATAGCATTAGCTGATTGTAGAAAAATATTTGGTAAATTAACTATTAACTGATTACATACAAAATGACTTTCTTAAAAAACTTATCGAAAAAGCTACTTTGAGCAGCTTTTTGAATTTTAGCATTTTGGAACAATAAGTTGTTACAAAAAACTAATTAATCAAACACTCATATTGATTGTTTAATCAAGTCAAATAGCTAATAGTGTTCAAATAAGCCAAAATTGGCTGATAGACTAACTATTTTACCAAACAGAGCCAAGGTCAAATGCTGGTGCATACAAGGGATCTGCCTACTTTTGGCATAATCCCCACACGGCCACTACTGAGTTTCGAACCTTGGTTTCTAAGAGTGTTTTCTCATTTATCCATTTATTTGTTTTTGAAGATCTAGATACTATGCGATGGAGAATACTCAGATACTATTTAGCACAAAAACTTTGCACACAAATTTACAAATACTAATGTGGTTTCATAGCTCTCTACATTGATTGGTTGCTCGTGAATTGGTTGACCCTACTAAAAATTAATCAAATGAAGTCACATACAGATGTGGGAGCTTGTATGTAAAACTGTGTGCATTTGGTATTATCCTTTTCATCTCAGGAGTATAGTCTTTTTGCTAAAATAAACTGGTGAAGTTGAAAAAGAAAATTATTGGTTAGAATGCTGGTTTTAAATTTGGAGAGTTTTAAGCTAATATAATATATATTACTTAGTAACATCTTTCAGAACCAAAGAAACAGGCTGAAGCTTATCCATTGCTAGAGCTTTCGGAGTTCTAAATACTCTGCCAAGTTGCAGCAGAGTTTTTCACTTAGCTTATTTATAACTTTAGCTGATCATTATTTCATTATGACCTGGAGAACAGATTGGTCAAGGTACATATAGCACTGTATTTCAAGCACGTGATCTAGACAGTGGGAGGATAGTTGCACTGAAGAAGGTGAGATTTGATCATTTGGAGCCAGGAAGTGTGCAGTTTATGGCACGAGAGATAGCGATACTCCGCAGGCTTGACCACCCAAACATTATAAAATTAGAAGGGATAGTTGCTTCACAATTGTCGTGTAGCATTTATCTTGTGTTTGAGTACATGGAACATGATGTTTCGGGACTCTTGTCTTGTCCTGAAGTCACATTCAACGAATCACAGGTGTGTTCCAGTTCTTATAAAATGTTTAAACTAACAACTCCGAGATCACACTTTCTTAGTATGTTTGTGCAAATTGTTTGTCTTGCGCTTACCACATGGTGCGCAATCCCCCTAGCCATATGGTGCTGACTTGGGGATTTGCAGCACCAGTCGTGCCTGGCTCTGATACCATTTGTTAGGATCAAACACTTACCACTATGCCAACAGCTATAGCTAGTAGCGAAGGCACAACATTATTTCCTTATGCCGCCACACATTTTCGAGAGCCGGATGCTGGATTTGGCCCTTTACCGGCCTCCGCCCGACAATCCCCTAGCCACATGGTGCTGGACTTGGTCCTTTACCGGCCTCTGTCCAACATTTTTGAACTTTTATGTGCTTTTGAAACATCTTTAATTACTCATTACATTGCATATGTAAATGCCTCCTAGAAGGCCATCTCTTCTGTTTGGTGAGCTTATTGTACTTTCTCTTGTGAATTGTGATGTTGATCCAGTTCACTATCTTCACAGGTTAAATGCTACATGAAGCAGTTATTGTCTGGGCTTCATTATTGCCATTCTCGGGGTATAATGCATCGAGATATCAAAGGAGCAAATCTTTTGGTAAATAACGAAGGAATCTTGAAGGTTGGTGATTTTGGATTGGCAAACTTCTGTAACCTTAGGCGGAGAAAACCATTGACCAGTCGAGTTGTCACATTGTGGTATCGTCCCCCCGAGCTATTATTAGGTTCCACAGATTATGGAGCTTCTGTGGATCTCTGGAGTGTTGGATGTGTATTTGGGGAACTTCTTACTGGTCGACCTATTCTTCGGGGAAGAACTGAGGTAAATTCTTCAACTACTTCTCTAATGGTGACAAAATTTTCTCCTAATTATCATTTTAAAGAACTTTTCAGTAAATTTTACCATACTTATACCTGAGCTATCTTCCAACAAGAATCCTTGTATGAGTTTATTTATCGCATAAAAATAATGTTTTTACAGGTAGAGCAACTGCACAAAATTTTCAAGCTTTGCGGATCACCACCAGATGAATACTGGAAGAGCTCTAAACTTCCTCGTGCAACGCTTTTTAAACCTCAGAATCATTACGAGAGCTGTATTCGGGAAGCCTTCAGAAATCTACCGAAAGATGCAGCCTCCCTGATAGAAACTCTTCTTAGAGTTGAACCACACAAGCGCGGGACTGCTGCTTCTGCACTTGCATCTGAGGTATTACTCGAAAAAGTTTTTACGTGTGTATTTTTAATTGCATATTGAGCTGTTTAGTATCCAGTTTGAGATAACATGTTAACTGATCAATACTTGTAGTTTGGAATCAACGTTCTTATCTTTTTTTTTTTTTTTTTTTTTTTTTTTTTTTTTTTTTTTTTTTTTTCTCGTGAGCACCAACTTATTTTCCACTGATCAGTGTGTGTGTTTTATCAGTGGAACCTTAGCCTTACCATCACTTTCAGCTCATCTAAGTCTATCTTGTTCTTTTTCATTTTCTTTTTGAATGCTTTCTAGTATTTTAAGACGAAACCTTTTGCATGCGATCCTTCAAGCATGCCCAAGTACCCACCAAACAAGGAGATCAATGCCAGGCAGCGTGAAGAAATTACGAGGTGAGGGCAAAAATCTTGTTATATCAAGACAACACTTTTCAACCGTACTATAGATACAGTTCTGTAACACAGCAAGTGGGGCCTGCAATTACGTCAAAGTTGTTGTGACATAGGGGTAACCCCAGCCCAGATGGCTAAGGATACGAACTTGTAAGTTGTAACCACAAAGTCACGAGTTCGAATCCCAGCCTTCTTGGTTTGAGCCAATCAGTTATGGGCAATCTAGATTGGTGGCTGCGGGTTTCCCATATATAAGTTTAAATGATTGTGGCACTTGGTGATCTAGCATTGTAGCACATAGTTTCAAGTTTTCTCGATCAATATTTAACTTTTCCGAGCATTTACAGGAAGAAGACTGGTGCTAGAGCCCATCGGCCAAAGACGATAAGAAAGCTAACTAGAAAACAGAATGGACTAAGTAAACATAAGCCATCAATTGATATGATGGAAGAGGCTTCCCACAAAAGGAATGTGTCTCAAAGTGATGTCCCCTTTTCAGGTCCACTTGAGGTTTCTGGATCAAGTGGCTTTGCATGGGCTAAGAGACGGTTTGATGATTCATCCCGAAGATCAGGAAGTATGTCTAGTTCGAAAAGCCTACTGTTTGAACCATCGGGTGTAGAACTGAAAAATAACTCGGGATCAAAGAGGCAAGAAAAGTGTGAACACAGAAATTGCGGTGAGACCAATTCTAAATGCCATGATTTCTATGAAAATGCCATGCATGCAGATCCTTGTGATGCTTCTGATTGGTATCACCCAAAAGAATTGCCCATAGCAGTTTATCTTGAAGAAGAACTGGCTCGCAAGAAGATGAACTTGGTGAGCCCCTAAACTTCATCATCAACAATTACATGTGAATAAGTTTGGACTTAACCATTGAACATATAAACATTTTAATGCATTTCCATTCAAATAAACTTGAACTTATTGAACTTCTAATTTGGCTGTGCTGGACAAGAGGGGAAGGTGTATTTCTTCCCTTCTGGACCTCTGGTGTGAGGATAGAGAAGATGACATTCTAGATGGGCTAGAGGAAAAATTTCAAAATTCCTTCTCTTTTAGGGTTTTCTACTGCTGTAAAAATCAGCCCAGGCGGCTGCCTAGGCGCTAGGCGCCCCTAGGCTAAGGGAATTTTACCCTTGGGCGGACATTAGTTAACCTAGGCGCCCGAGTTGGCCAACTCGGCGCCTTAGTCGGCCAAACTCGACTCCCGAGTCTGTCAACTCGGCTGAGTGTTATTTATTTATTTTTTTTTTGGTGTGCAATGTGTACATTGTTGTGTTTTTCTTATTATTATTACTCGCCTGCCTAGGCCCTAGGAGCTCCCGGATGCCCAACTAGTGCCTTCTACAACATTAGGTTTTTCTTATTATTATTACTCGCCCGCCCGCCTACTCGCGTAGGCACTTTATCAAACTTTGCACCCCCCACTCCTTCCCTTCCATTTCACCTCAGAACACAGCCTTTGTTATGAATATCATATATTTTTTCATAATGCATGAAATTACAGTTCTATATATATATATATATATATATATATATATATATATATATATACCTTTGTCTAAAATTTGAATTGGACTCTGAACAGGTTGGGGATCATGGAGACAGGGTTGAATATTCAGGACCTTTGTTGTCTCAGTCACACAGAGTTGATGAGCTCTTGGAGAAACGTGAGCGCCAGATAAGACATGCTGTTCAGAAATCATGGTTATAAAAAGGTAAAATAGTTTACATATGAAATTAGAGAAATTAAAGTAAAAAATTTATTGAACATTCTTTAACCCTGTTGTTTGAACCTTATAATATTATATCTTCTGGTGAAAGATTTGTACCTAAACCAGGTTCTCTTTTTATTTTCTATTTTTCTCCATTCTTTCTATAGATAAACTGATTTCATCTAAAGACCTTAGCTTAGGATCTAATCCCTTCTTTACTACTACTGAGACTTATATCTGTCCAGTGTTGTAAAAATCGGCCTAAGCGATTTCAGTTTTAGGAGGCTTTTAGTTGGCTGGTCGACTAGGTGCCGAGTTGGGTGCCTAACTAGGCAAAGTTGGGAGCCTAACAAAGCTTAGTTGGTGTCCAATTTGGCCGAGTTTGCACTCAACTTGGTTGAGTGGATATTTTTGCTTGTTCGGCTACTCTTCTATATTCCTCTAGTCATGTACTCAACTAATCATCTAACATATGCAGTTGACCAGTATGAGAGATTATAATAGCCTAACAATTCCCTACCTATTATTATGTCCTACTCATGCCTCATTATAAACCTCACTACCTAGTGCGAAAAGACTTAGCAAGGAAAAGAGTACATGATATGTATGCATTTATGTGTTGGACTAGCTATCTTATTAAAAAACCTTTAATTAAGAAAATTTATCAAAACTCAATCAAAGGAAAATGAGTACTACTGTTGTTCTTCAGAATCCATTCTTCAGGATTATTCAAGTCCAATTTTCAGGATTGATTCAAGTAAATGTTATGTAACACTTTCAATTTTCTACCATTCGAGCCTAGTATATTTCACATAATTAAATTATAGAAATAGAAGAATAAACATTAGATATTCAAAAATTGAAAGGTTAACAACCTATGCATACCAGGGGATGCTACTGTCGCAGCCACCCTTATATAGGTGACTACAGTGCTATCTACTAAAATCCAAAATGCAATTACTATCAAGTATCATGGGTTCACAGACCTAGGTGTCCAAGCATCATACAAAACCCCAAAAGAGATAGTCAACATCTACATCAAACTTCTAACATAAGTTTCAAGAATCCTTATCAACATAAGTTAGGGCCGAAAAGAAAGGATAAAACACTAGGTGCTAAAACAAAAAAGGTACTACTCAAACTAACTCCTCTAGGCGTGTTCTCAGCATACATTATTCCAGACTTGAAAGGGTTTTTTAAAATACAAGAAAAATAACCTGTTATCATGAACATGCTAGGTATAAACTACTCAACCTTGTAAAATCAATAAATAAATAAATAAATAAATAAATAAATAAATATATATATATATATATATATATATATATATATATATTTGTTTCACCACATATAGTCAGACTATTTTAGACTATTGTATATATTTTTTTGGGGGTAGCGCTCGATCAATTATACCTTTCTAGAGATTAGCAATGTTTAATCAAACTTAGGGGGCGTTTGGTTCACGGAATCTTGGATTACCCCAGGTAATACAATTACCTCCTGGAAGGTAATGTAAGATTTTGGGAATGTAAAATTACATTGTGTGTTTGGTTTGGATGGTGTAATATAATATTACCTTGTTTGGTTCAGGGTTATATTTTAGGTTATATGGATCAATTTACAATATAATGTGTGTGTTTTTATTTATATCTATGAATGTATATCAAAACATAAATATTAAAAAAAAAAAAACTATATATATAAATATACACATAATTATATAAACATATATTTATGTGGTCTAATGGTATCCGGGTTGGACTTCCATTTGGAAGATTGTGATTTCGAGCCTCAGTGGAGGCGTTATTGGCTCTTTGTGTTTCAGTAGGTTGAGAAAGTATATGAACAGATACTACATTGTAATAGAGCTAGTAGCATTCAAAAAAAATATAAACATATATTAATTTCATTATTATTGCTGCTGCTGTCATTATTACTACTACTATTATTATTATTATTATTATTACTACTACTATTATTACTACTACTATTACTATTACTATTACCACTATTACCTTGAAACATTACCACCACATCAGCTTTCAGGTAATATAACATTACCTGGTAATCTCATAACTTGAACCAAACAAGGTAATATAACATTACCAGACTTAGATAACCTAAACCAAACGCCCCCTTAGTAGTATACTAAAAAACCAGTGTAACAATTATAGTCGACTAAGAGTTTGCATAGTCATTATACTAGTAGTTCACCTTTTAAGATTTATCACTGATATAAGGTACACTTTTATTATACTCCGTACTAAAGATATATTTTTAATACACTCAAAATTCATTTTTTAAATATACAATAATAAAAATTAGATATATAAATAATGTACATTAAGTATATTAAAAATGTACATTAGTTCATGGCCTACAAAATAATCAATCGTTATACCCTATACCACGGCGCACATAGCACTGTGCGCCGCGCGCCTCCCAAAATGACGTTGTTTTGGGAGGCGCGGTAGGAAGTTGCTGGGATTATGTGTATTTGTTCACATAGTTATGTGTATTTGTTTATACAGTTATGTGTATTGCTTCATACAGTTATGTACATTTTTTATACAATTATGTACATTCTTTTTATACAATTATGTACATCCGAATAAGAAAATTTGTGTGTATTATGTTAATAGTTGATGTGTATTATGTTAAAAGTTTATGTTTATTATGTATTATGTTAGATTATGTGTATTATCTTTTAAAAAGAGTATGTATATTTTGTTATATAATAATGTACATTCATGTATACAATTATGTGTATTCTAGTATAACATTATGTACATTCTTGAACAGCGGGGTTTTTTTTTTAAAGAAAAAACTACTGCCATTCACTGGGGCGGGAAATTTCAAAAAAAAATAAAAAATAAAACGACGCCGTTTTGTATCTGGGCGCATAGTGCAACGCGCGCCGTGGTGTAGGATATAAATTGCCCAAAATAATTTGCCATATTTGAACAATAGTTATGTTGTGCAACCGAATGTACCATGCGCATGGTGCATACGATGCAAAACGACGTCGTTTTGACTAAAAAAGCCCGTCCCACTTTAAAAAAAAAATTCAGGTTCGATTCTCGGCAATAGCATTATTATGGATATATAGTTATGAATTTCTGGATATATAGTTATAAATTTGTGGATATATAGTTATGAATTTATGGATATTTAATTCATTCATTGTGGATATTTAGTTCATTCATTGTAGATATTTACTTCATTCATTCACTGTGGATATATAGTTATGAATTTATGGATATATAGTTATGAATTTATGGATATTTATTTAGTTCATTCATTGTGGATATTTAGTTCATTCATTGTGGATATTTAGTTCAATCATTGTGGATATTTAGTTCATTCATTGTGGATTTTTACTTCATTCATTCATTCATTGTGGATTTTTATTTCATTCATTCATTCACTGTGGATATATAGTTATGAATTTGTGGATATATAGTTATGAATTTTTGGATATATAAAAATGTCATTGTTGGAAATCGAACCTGATTTCTTCTTTAAGTGGGACGCGCATTTTTTCAAAATGACACCGTTTTGCAATCGTATGCACTTTGCAAGGTGCATTCGGTTGCACAGCATAATTTGCGATGTTTGAAACATTGGGCTAAAATATTCCAAGAATTTATTGTGTACCAAAATTACAAGATTTTATTGTCATTTAAACACTCCTATTGATTGCAGAACCCAACAAGATTGGCCCAATAATAGATTTCATGTTCACTGTTTTAAAGACCAAGGTTCAGCCCGAATGCGGTGGCTAGCCTGAATAATACAAAAATAAAAACGCTAGAAGGAGGGCTTGAACCTCCGACCTTGTAGTTAACAGCCACACACTCTAACCAACTGAGCTATTCCAGCATTTGTTGTTAAAAATGAAAATTTATTATCTATTAATTAAACTATTTAGAAATTGAGAGTGTGCTCCGTTCACGGGTTTATACATAAAGAATAAGAATCAAAATTATAGTTAGTATTTGGTTGATAACTTTTCAAAACACAACTATGATATTTGATTACCCCTTCAATTAAAAATAATAATTGAAGAAAATTGTAATATACGGTCTTGAAAGTTTTTATAAACATTGTGATAGTAGAGTTATATTCAATCTCATCTACTTCTGCCATTTCTGTGCACCACCGGGTTAGGAATTCATTGTGAGTTAACTGCATAGTGCATACACATAATTTGAAATTATTTTGAATCACATCCATATTGCAAGACAGGTTATAATCCATAGTATAATTTGCCCTAATCATGGGAGCCCCTCTTCGTGATCGGTCATACACGATTGCTCAATTAGTCAATTATCTTACGCCCCACCCAAAATGCGTTTCATGCTTTGACCATTTATATAACTACCTCACTCCAAAGGCCCAGCAAAATACTCTGTGAACCTGGTTCAAATGTTCAAAATTTACATACGATTTACAATTTACTTTTTCAAAATTTTACAATTTGTATACTATGAAGACACAATTTTAACATATATGTAATTGATTACCTTGTTTTGTATTCACAAGTTCCTTTCAGATATTGCAGTCACACAATATTAACAGATTAGGATTTGATGACCCTGTATTGTATTCACAAATTTCTTTCTACAGATGTTATATGTTTTGACATAAAAACACAATTTATATTCTAGAAGTTCACAATTTTAATACTAAAAATACACAATTTATATGTCGTTTAGGACCATGGTCTATCTTGCAAGGTGGACCCTGGTCTATGGTATAACAACTCCAAAAACCCTTCTTCCTTATCCCAAAACTCAATCATTATTGTATGGACCATAATCCACACAGCTGTGTAGACTATATTATCAAATAATGTACATTCAGTACATAAATAATGTAATTGTATTCAGGAAAAGTACATTATTTGTGTGCTAAAAGTACATTATTTTGTATAATGTAATTCATTACACAAATAATGTACTTTTAGTATATTAAAAATGTACTTTTTGTTATAGTCCACATAGCATTATATGGACATGGACTACACAATAATTTGCCCCCAAAACTCAATCATTATTGTGTGGACCATATTTTCTATATTGTAAAATAATGTACATTCAGTACCAAAATAATGTACATTTAATATATTAAAAATATACATTGTATTCAGAGACTGTACATTATTTGAGTACTGAAAATACATTATTTTATATAATGTACATTCAGTATATGAATAATGTACATTTAGTATATTAAAA